AATGAAGTATATTACCAAGTAACCCAGTGAGAACTGCTTGCCTATCATTTTAGTTCAAAATACAAGAAGTTTTATTCCAAGCAAGCATTGCAAGCCCGCTAGGTTAATTTCTGCTGCTTGCTTGGAATAAAATTTCTCATATTTTATATTAAAATGATAGGCAAGCAATTCTGTAAAAGCACTGGCACTGAACGTTTCACTTCGTACAGTCTATTTTGCAACTTTTTTAAAATGATGTCAATCCCGAAAATCTCGGGATTAGGAAAACTTAATCCTGAAAATTTTGGGACTGAAAAGTAGTCGGGATCCCGATTTTCGAGATCCCGGGATCAAATCCTCTACACACAATAGAGACTGCTGTCAACAATATTTTGACAAAAGTAGACAAATGGGGTGTCAGTAATAAATTAATATTCAATGCAACAAAGACTAAAGGCATTGTTTTTACAGCTGCCTACTCATCAACAGATTTGTATAGACGTGCTCCGGGATACGCTTCAGAGACTCTTCCATTAAAATAGAGGAACATGTCACTTTCCTTGGTGTGATCATTGATCACAGGCTAACCTGGAAGAAACACATTATGCACATAACTAACCGTTCCAACCTTGTTTAATAATCTGCTCCGAGTTGCCAGGAACAGATGGGGACTTGATCATGTAGCTGTCAATGTCACTATGACTGCGTGTTTTTGTCCACTATTTGTTATGCTTATGCTGTATGGGGAGAGGCTGCCTTCCATTCTTATAATCATTGGCATCTCAGAACAGCACAATGCCTGGCGCTCCTGTGCCTGACCAGATGTTATTCCACTGTGTCTAATGCTGCTCTTCCTGTGCTTGCCGGGAAGCCCCATCCTGCAGCAGATCCAGTACTGTACAGGCAGATTTCTTCTTTCCTGTGGTAAAAGTATTACCATATTGGGCAACATGTATGACACTTCCTGTTACGAAATAAGTAGACCTTTTGCAGACCTCCCTCATCCTGCCCTCAGAAGAGGCCTTGGGGCTCATGACTGTGCGACTACCATCGAAGTTTTTACCGATGGCTCCAAGACTGTGCAAGGTACCGCAAGTGCTTTTGTCGTGTATGTCAGTAGTAAAGAATTTCATCATGACACTTTTCCCCTAAACCTGGAATGTTCAGTGTTTCAAGCAGAAATGTTTGCCATCTTTAAAGCAAAAGAATTCTGTAATAAAAATTTCAACAACTATAATATTACTATTTTCACTGACAGCCAGTTCAAGTCTTGACTAACAAAGATACCACTCACCCCCTTGCTAGGGACACTTTGTTCTCTGCAGATCAGTCCAGTAATAATTATCATATAAAATGGATTAAGGGGCACTGTGGCACTCCAGGTAATGAACATACAGACTTCCTTGCATGTGTGGCCACCTCCTTCAGGGATATCAACCCAGTATACAGCCATTTACCGGTCTCCAGGTTAAAGCAGCTCCTCTGGCAGCATACAATTGTAGCATGGCAACAAGAATGGGAATGTATCTCAGAGCAGCACATTTCCTGGCAGTTCTTCCCAGACGTAGCAAGACGCCTCAGCAGGAAATGGATCCACCCTCAACACCAGATGTCACAGATGCTTTCAGAATATGGTAAATTCAATGTCTACTTACATCAGTTTCCACACAGCGACACTGACTGCTGTCCTAACTGCGATGTGCGTGATGGGGTAAGGCATTATCTTTTGTCTTGCCCACTGCTGGAGGACATAAAGAACGAGCTCAAACTTTATGTTGAAGAAGATAATCTCAATTGGCCATGTAAGCTGGAAATTTTAGTGTTGAGTAAAAAGTACTTTTCCCTTTTTCAAAGGATGGTCAAGCTTTACTTTAACAGAACATTAATACATTGATAAAGGTTTTCCCCACTTTTCGTATCTTTGTATTGCTGAAGATCTTATAATAGCCTTATGCCTACTATACTGTGCATTTACTCTGTGCCTGTTACTGTACAAGGTCTGTACACCATTTTCACCTTGGCGTCTGTGTTCATGCATGGTTTCATTTGTTTTGTTCAGGCCTCCATCAATGTACTTTCATTGTGTGTCTATGTTGCACTAGCATTGTACAGGAACTGTATCCTCTCATACTGTACATATGCGAACTTTTTGTTTTGACTAAACTTCACACAAACTGCAATGTCTTTGGTTTTGTGATTTACCACATGATTCGGGATGTCATGATTTTATATTTATGTGTATTTTGTTTTCTTTTCTTTTACACTCACTGTCAGTTTTCCTGCTCGGCATGTCACCTCTATGTACACCCTGTATATATTCACCCCAACTGTGCCTAGCAGTGTCGGGCATAATGAAGTTTATTTTGTCTGTCTGTCTGACTGTCTGTCAGCATTACATCAAAAACAACAATGATATGTTTAATTTCTTCATTTTGTCTACTTTCTAACGACATAAAATACTTATGGAATATATCTGAAAGTGCTTTTTTGTGTGTATTTTATTATTATTTGATATGTTTATTTTTTCAATTTTGAAAATTGCAAAAATAAACATATTAAAAAATAAACACACCATAAATTATCTCAGCTTACGTGGATTAACAACTGCTTTCTGTGAAATTTGAGAGGAAGGTGTTATTTTTAAGGTCACAGTAGATGGTCAACATAGCCCACACTAACTGACTGTACTACTACTACTACTACTACTGTCAATAAGTCATTAATTATTTTATTGTCTTGTAAACAAAACCTCTGTTCCTAATTTTAAGTCAGTCAAATTACAATGTTATTATTTTATTGTACTTAGAAAAATGTTTTCTTTAACATTTAATTAACAACTAGTTTTGTTAGATCTAATTAATTTTATATTTTAGTTGCAGTTTAAAACCTGGCAAAAATATGGTATAAAAAAGTAGTTTGTTAGAAAGAATGTCTTCAACTAGATCAAACTATGTTTGTTAAATTATATTTTAATAATTTTGCTTGATCATAAATTTTAGTTTTATATCATATGTAATCCGTATACACTATTATATTAGAAAAATAGTGACTTCTAAATGGATACTTATAAGTACCCATTTAAAATACACAATTATCTGTTTAAAAATCATAATCATCTAGATAGTTGGGTCTCTGAATATCTGATCATTAAGAGAATAGTTGTTTACCTATTACCTGTATAAATCCAAGTAAAAACAGCTATATGACATTTAATTATATGTAATGTTGAACATTTTATCAATAAATATATTTTTTCACTTAACATTCATTCTTCTCTGAAATAAGTTAATTAAAATATTTCCATTAAGATTGCAGATATTTTACAATATCCCGAAAAAATTATTTTTTTTAACATTGTTTATTTAAATTTTAAATTAACTATTAAATCTATAACATTTGAATTGTACCTACTTAGAACGAACAGATATTGTTAATATTCCAAAATCTACTTTTCCTTCACTATTTGTTTTTATACAGTGAGTGGACGTATTTGGAGAGACCTGTAATTAAAATTTTTTAAAAATCTAATGAAATTTAAATGTATCAATTTAGTATTTCTATAAGTATCTGAAAATTATTTCAATCATTTCAAAAAATTAACTACATATAAAATTCCAAAATTTGAATTAACAATAAAGTATTTCATCATTTTAAACCTAGAATATATCTATAAATTTATTCACAATGCATTTAAGTTTAGTAATGTAGTGTCTTACTCCAGTACACCATACTTTTCCTGTTAACAATGAAGTCATGCCAGTCATGTATCTAAGTCTGTTCAGAAGAAAATTTTTTAATTGAAATAACATGACTTCCTGTCCAAAGCAGACGTTTGCATATAATTAATTGGGCTTTCTGTCCTTAAGTTTTCCATGTCTAGTCTTAACTTTCATCTATCTAACACTGTTCTTGAGATTAAGGACAGCCACCAGACAGCAGTAAGAATTTATATATCTACAATTTTTTCAAATTGCAGACCAAAACACTCAGTAATTAATAACTCTGAATGGTTTACAAACAAAGAAAATAAATATTTAAATATACTTGAGTAACTTTCATAACAGGTAACTTTCATTTTCACACATCTCCTGTAAGTTTGCTTGCTTATGTACTAATGTATGGATATAAATATGGATCACAGAAGCATATACGGGGTCCAAACAGGTAATTCCATCTATGATTTCCTGACCAATTATGACATTATTCCCTGACTTATTAAAGTCTCTGTGGTTCCCCTTTCCATTATGTAACATTTGGCCAAGTCTATTTGAGCCCATTTTGTACTTAATTATATAAATTTTTTTATTAAAAACATTTTATTCACTTACAAAAAACTTCATGTAAAATCAATTATGTAATTAGCTGTCATTTCTACACTATATAAAAAATTTCATGATTTTATCTAAATTAATTCATATAAATGTTCTAATAAATAAGAAAAAGACCCAAGTCATAAAATCGAATCTTCTTAAAGCGAGGAGGCAGTAAATTCAAAATAATTTAAACAGAAGAAATCACACACTCCATGAGAAGAAGAAATCGTGTTTGTCCAGCACAGACCCATTCAAGATCATTATATTTTTTCCCATCCCTTTCTGCAACTTATAGTGAGTGTGTGGACTTTTGGTGGAAAAGTGGGTCGTTGATGGTGTTTTGAAAACCCAATTTTAACTCTATAGTAATATTTTGGCATACTTCCTAAGTTCTGCAGGCCATCTGTAGATGAAAATTTGCAGTTAGAGAGAAGATACATCACAGATCATCAATCTATCAGCAAGCTGGTGCCTTATGTTATGCAGGTTGCAGATAAGGAAATTGCAAGTTTTCAAACAGCATTATGGGTCTGATGATGAAATAGAGAAGTCCAAAAAGTATTTTAGAATAAACTTTGACTCCAGAAGATCACAGCATTGTTATTACAATAAAACTAGTTTATTGTAAAAGTTTATGTAAACAAAAAACTTTTATTTCATAGAATGTTTAAACCAACTTTTAATGTACAGTAAATAAAATTAGAATGATACTATTTTAAAACTGTGCATAAAATTAACTTTAATATATTTTAAAATTGTTCTATACAGTATTATCAATACAATTACTTTCATATATATACAAAAGTAACAACAACAACTTATTAATATAAATTATTTTTAAGTAAACATTTATAAACTTACTTTTAGACCTTCATCAATTCCAAGTTGAACTTTGATATTTGATTCAGCACATGGATTTCCTGCACTATCACAGAGTTGTACAACAAGAGAATGAGGTAACTTATTTTCATGATACAATGTGTAAAGCTAAATGAAAAAAAATTGAAAAAATGTTACTAAAAATTAATTTAATGAATTCTGTAAAATATATAATCAAAACCTTTATACAATAATTTATAACGTTAAATTTTAATATAAAAAGTGTTGAGATTTGGTAGAATTGAGCCTTTTGAATTTGTAAAAAAAAAAAAAATGATTAGGTATTAACATCGTAAAAACACGTAAACAGATAATAAAAATATCTTCTTTTATTCGCCATGTCCAATCACCAGGAACAAACTATTCTCCACAGCAGAGATAACCTTTCTTTAGAGGCTATGCCTCTGCCAAATTATGTAAAACAGTCTAAAATGTCCACAGGTGACAATCCCTTCACTATTAAAAAATATAAAATTTAATATTTCTTTGTAAAATAGGGGTGGGCAGAATTACAGAAAAATGATTAGGTGTTTTTGGAATATACAAAAAGCACAAAGTTGTTTATTTGTGTTTAAAAAAAGAATTTGAATCTAAAAGTTTCANAATATATAATCAAAACCTTTATACAATAATTTATAACGTTAAATTTTAATATAAAAAGTGTTGAGATTTGGTAGAATTGAGCCTTTTGAATTTGTAAAAAAAAAAAAAATGATTAGGTATTAACATCGTAAAAACACGTAAACAGATAATAAAAATATCTTCTTTTATTCGCCATGTCCAATCACCAGGAACAAACTATTCTCCACAGCAGAGATAACCTTTCTTTAGAGGCTATGCCTCTGCCAAATTATGTAAAACAGTCTAAAATGTCCACAGGTGACAATCCCTTCACTATTAAAAATATAAAATTTAATATTTCTTTGTAAAATAGGGGTGGGCAGAATTACAGAAAAATGATTAGGTGTTTTTGGAATATACAAAAAGCACAAAGTTGTTTATTTGTGTTTAAAAAAAGAATTTGAATCTAAAAGTTTCAGAGAATTGGATTTCGGGGAGCCCTTTAAAGAAGAGTATTAAGCTGCTCCTGACATTTCAAGTTTCAGCTGTGAAAAAATGGCTTAAAGTAAAATTCAAACTCACTCCCACACATTAAATTTAATAATAATAATAATAATAAAGGTAGCCTCCTGATAATTTTTATAATTAATTTGTATTTGATTTTTTAAATTAATATTTATTATATTTCAATTTTTCAATAATTTTCTTAAATGATATTAATGTTTAAAAATATCAAAACTTTCAAATAATTTACCTGATCAGTATTGAAATTAGGATAAATTAGTTTGGCTGGAGGACCAGCGATCATTTCTAATCGAACATAATCTTTTAAATCATTCCACTGGATACATAATTCTCGACTTCCTAATTTTCCATCTTCAAATCTGATTCCTTTAATAACAAATCCTCCTGTCTAAAATTATAATTTGTTTTTATTTTTATTAATATTAATAAAAATATTTTTAAACAGATAATTTATAAACTAATGTTGTTTATTTATTTAACTGATCATACAGGATGGTATACAGAAATAGGCAATTTTGAGTCATTCATTTCAAGGCAAGGTACTGTGATGTTATCAGTTGCCATGGAGCAGTGATCGGATGTATATTTGTAGTAAAAGCATTTTACAAAAACAAGTATTGTTATGAATCTGTGCGATGAGAATTTTTGCATCACTTTCAACTTCAGTGTCAAGATCCAATTCTGTCAGCTCACACTGTAGAGACAAGTTGCAAATTTTGAAATAACAAGTTCATTGGAAGCCCCAGAGCCAAGAAAAATGTTTACATGCCAGAAACTGTTAAAGCACTCAGAGCCTTGTTCCTGCAGAGTCCACTGTGTTTTGCATCATGTTTTATTATGTTTTTCTCACTGTATTTTGGGAAGAATATTGTTCACAGATTTAAATTTTCATGTGTACAAGATTCACATAGCGCAGGCTTGCAGCAATTAGCTCCATCTGATATCAATAAGATTTATTTTTGCCAAGCAGTTTTTAGCAAAATATGATGAAAATAAAAATTTCCTGAAAACTTTTGAATATCTGATGGAAGCCTCCTTTCATCTAAATGGCTATGTTAACAAGCAAAGCTTTCAATACTGGTCTGCTGAGAATCCTCATTTTTTATACCAGCAACTGTTACACAGTAAAAATGTGTGTGGGACATGTGATATCACTAAAACTAATTATTGGGCCATATTTTTTGAGGATAATGATGGCTGTGTGATTACTGTGACTTTAGAATGATACATCAAAATACAGTAAGACTCCGCTTAACATGGGGGATGTGTTCCTAGACGACAAAGCACTAAACAAAACAGCATTAAATGAGGTCATTTTAACAAGGTAGATAGGGATAGGGAACACGCAACCAAAAACAAACAAATTTTATTGTAATTTTAAGTCATTTTTATATTGATTTGCATAATAATATACACGGGATGACAAAAAAAAAAAATAACGCACCATGAAGGACTTGTTGGATTTGAATAAAAATTGGTATGTTGCATTATCTTAGCTAGACATGTAAATGATTAGCTTTTGAGAACAGGTTCTTGTGTCATATCGCTACCAGAGGGAAAAAAAGTGCTTCCTCTGTCTGGTATAAAGGTGCACGCTGTGACAACTTGTGCATATGTTCTGCACTTTTATTCATGGCTGTGACTTCATTGAGTGACAGACATGCCTCTACGATGCATTCGACAGCCTTACGCTCAGTTGAGTTTGAGAGAGGTCACATCATTGGATTGAGAGAAGGAGGGTGGTCATACCGCCAGATTGGCTGCCATCTAAACCATTCTAATAGAACTGTTAGGATGTGTTATGAGCAGTGGGTAAGTAGGAGTACACACAAACAGCAAATGGGCTCCAGATGCTATCGACAGACCACCAGAAGGGAGGATCGTCTCATTGTACATCAAGCATGGACAGTGCCTACAGCTTCATCGTCTACCATTCATGCAGCAGTGGCACCTGCATTACAGAACCATGTATCCAGCCACACCATTTTCAGGCGCTTAGTAGAAGATGGATTGGTCTCCCGATGCCCAGTATATGTTCTACCGTTAACAGCCACCCACTGACACTTCCATCTGCAGTGGTGTCATGCATGACAATCATGGCCAGCTATCGACTGGCAGCATATTGTCTTCAGCGACGAATCCCGCTTTTGTTTGGGGGCTCACGATGGCCGTGTAAGAGTATGGCAGCCTGCTGGTCAAGGCATCAACCCGGCCTATACTGTGGAGCGGCACACAGGCCCAACCCCCAGTGTTATGGTGTGGGGAGCCGTAACATATGACAGTAGGACACCTCTAGTTGTCATGCATACTACCCTCACAGCCCAACGATATGTACAATACATCCTCCAGCCACATGTGTTGCCCCTCATGGCAGGTCTTCTGATAGGCATATTCCAGCAGGATAATGCCTGGCCACACACCACAGCAGTCTCCCAAACATGCCTACATAACATTGCCACACTTCCTTGGCCTGCATGGTCTCCAGATTTATCATTAATCGAACATGTGTGGGACCATCTGGGTCGCTAGCTGCAACAGCCACGGGATCTGATGCACCTTGAGTCCCAGTTGCATCATGCATGGACAGATATGCAGCAGAACATTATTTGCGACCTTTATGCCTCCATGTCGATGCATATTACAGCTTGTATCCGTGCTAGAGGCGGCCCAACGGAATATTAGCACCTGCATTGTATTGCATATTACTGCACAATAAAGTATGTTTTTGCTTTATGGTTGCAATCATATACCTGTCTAGCTATGATGATGTCACATACCAATTTTTATTCAAATCCAACAAGTCCTTCATGGTGTGTTATTTTTTTTTGTTGTCCAGCGTATGTTAAATAACACATAAACATATGCATACAAAAATGCAAAGTTCATTTTTTGTGAGGAAAGTCCTGGCTTTTCTGAAATTCTAGTTTTTTTTGCGATAAAGTCGTGAAGTTTCATTTGTTGCTTTTTTCTTTCCTTAAGCAAATGTTGGTAGCAGAAGATTTCATCCAAAATGCTTCATTTTGCTTTTGCACTCCTTTCAAAATCTGGATCATTCACTACAATTTGATCAATGATTTTGGTTATTGTTACCAAACTTTTACTAAGGAAATCTGTAACAAGTTCTTTGGGTTCTTCATTTTCATAATCTCTATTTTCCACTTCTACATGAATTCCTTGTTCTGCCAATTTTTGAAGGTCGTCATTGGTAAGGCTCTTACCAGAAACATGCTGCAACTCCTCAATATCCTGCTCATCTACATCTCCTAGTCCTGCTGCATTGATTAGTTTGTTTTGAGTTTGGTCAACCTAACCATAGAGCGATAGGCTCTTCTCATTGAGAATTCTTGAATACCTTCAGCCATAATTCCAAACTTCGTTCGTGCATTTATCAGTTAATTCTTGCCAAGCGATATTGCCTATGGCATCCGTTATATTTTTTCCAAAACTGCACCAAACAAACATAGATTTAAAAAAGTACACCTTTTTCTGATTGGTTTGTGTTCATAAATACAGGTATACCTCGCCTTACGTTGGTAATTGGTTTCAGCAGAGGCAACGAAAGTCGAATTTATTGTCTCCGAATCTACTTGTCACTAGGCTAAACCATAAATTACCATTCCTGGTTCTGTATTTTATTTATTAATGCATTTTTAATAATATATGGTTAATAAGGATCTATTTTAAGCTTACAAACAAATAAATTTTAGTTTTTAATACAGTAATACCTTGACTTACGCTACCCCGACTTACGTGATTTTCAAATCTCGCCGATTCGTCTTTTTTCTGAGCGCCACGCAACTCTTGATTACTCATGCCCCCCCACACTATTGTTCAGCTTACATGTTCGGAAATGTTGCGCTAAATCGATGCATAGCTACAATTTATTTTGTGTTATTTATTTCTGTGTTTGTTTTATGTACGGAGATTTGAGAGACTCTACTATGTCATCCAAATGAAGTAGAACCGATTCTTCTGCATCAAACAAGAAAAGAAAAACTTTATCTTTGGAATGTAAAGTTAACATTATTAAAGACTTTGATACAAAAATGAAAATTTGTGAATTGGCAAAGAAGTTTGATCTACCGGAATCGATGGTCAGAACAATTACAAAAGGTAAAGAAAAAATTCTCAAAGCTGCGAAAAATGCTCAATCTTTAAATTCAAGCATCATTCATAAATGTCACGGTATTATCGCTGAGATGGAAACAATGTTAAAATTATGGTGTGATAATCAAGTAATTGTGAAAAATTGTATAATAATATAATATGTTATACATATGTATTATCTAAGATTTTATTAAACATTTTTTTTCTAAATTATTGCTTTTTTTAGTCTCTGGTCCCAATTAAAAATTATTTGTATGTATTTATATGCAAAATTATACTCAGACTTATGCAAATTTGACTTACACGGTTATCACTCAGTCCCACCTATCACGTAAGTTTGGGATATTACTGTATAGTACAGAAAAAAGTAATCTAAGTTTACAAATGCAGGTACTATAAATACAGTACATATTTGTAAATGTATACATTTTAATATGATTTTATGTGCTTTAAACGTTTTTCTAGTGATATTACGACTTCAATATTTGTGGCGGACAGACGTAAAGTCAAATAAAATGACTTAAACTTGATTTTTATTTTTCCATATACTTTTTGACAAACGATATATAATTGGGAACGACGTAACTCGAAACAATGTAAGTCAAGGTATACCTGTAATCATATTGTATATGAATCAATGAAATGCCTTTGTAATTTAAATCAGCGTAAATTTTGAGCTTTTTTTAGGATTCAAGCAGACTGCGTTATATCAAATCAGCATTAAGCAACGCAGCGTTAAGCAGGTTCTTACTGTAATTCAAACATTTCTCAGCTACTAACTAGAGATGTATCCAATAAACAAGTCAACATAGCTACAGCTCATACTGCAATAATATCAATTGCCACTTTATGAAAGCTTTTAATAAACTATTATGTCTAAAAATAGCAATATCAGGCCTGCAAAATTACCAGATTTTTCAGCATATGGTTATTTTTTATGAGTATTTTTAAAATGCTAAATGTTTGCTTGTTGTCCTCACAGCATTAACCCTTTGTCAGTCACATTATAATTTCTAATGTATTTTATTGTACAGGTGACAGTTGTAAATTTATTTAATGATAAAAATAGGTGACATCTGTTTGTTTTTTAAAACATTGGTGTATAAATATGTAAAATCTTACTCTTGATATTAGTTTTTGTGTTGATTTAAAGTATTTTAAAAGATTTATAATGGAATTACAAATTGGAAATTTCAACAATAAATCATAAATCAAAACTAAAAGACTTAATTTTATATTCAGTGAAACTTACTTGAGGTGACTACCTTGTGACCAAGATAAGTAGTACAGAAAGGTAGTCACTATATGGAGAATACATACATTATATCAAACAAATCCCACGGCACATTGTTTTGTAGGTTTTTGTGAATTTATTTATATCAATGTTGACAACTGTAATTTTATATAGCAGTATACACATTAATTGTGTCAAAAACTATAAATAGGAATATCCTCTCTTTGCAGTTTTCCACTGTTATGTAATCTATATCATTTGTCTTTCTACGCAGTACCTTCTATGAAATGTCATGTCTTTGCTTAAATGATTTGAGCGAGTGATTTAATACATTAAAGTTCTGAATATGAAGCTTCTCTGCAAATTTAAATGCTACTTCCTGTAAAATGAGTCAAACACATGAGCATTCATTCAATGCATTTGCTGAAACCATTTCAGAACAGCAGCATTTATCTCAAAATTTGTTTTTTTTCTTACTTTTCTGGAACAGTCTATTTTCAAGGCAGAATACTTTGAACGTCAAGAAACGGTTAAAGTATTCTGCCTTACATTTATGAATGTTGTTAACATATCTTTTACTTATCCTAAATGTTGTTTCTGCTTTTTTGCTGACTATTGAATTCAAGAAGCATAATAACCTCAACTTTTTCTTTCAAAGAAGATCTCTGTATGACTTGGTTTGAGCCATAATTGAGAGCTGCAGAGCTACAAATGAACAGATTTTAGATGCTATTAGTAAGGAATAAAACATATAAAACTACAGAATACACTTATAACAAATAGAAGAAACTTTCAGTACAGTAGAAAACAATGTAATCTGAGAATTTTACAACTTAAACAATAAAATCCAGCCCAAAATTTATAATTACTAGTGCCCAGAAAGTTAGATATTGACCTAGAAAAGCATCTAAAAAGCAGATTTCAGAGGTAATAAAATTATTTTTCATTTTTTGGAACATTTATTTAACATTTTTACTGAAATGTGGATTAAATTAGTTTCTCGTTCTGTAGAGTAAAAAATAAGTTAGTGAGATATCTAGAAAGTTCAAATTTAATTTTAATAACTAATGCAAATACAAAGCAAATAAAAACAAAAATTCAACAATCTAAGTTAATTAATTAATTAAACAAATAAACAATTGAAAACAAGACAGAGCATGAATGTAAGTTTTGAGCAATAACTGGGAGTTTAATTTTATAATTATTTGATAAACAAACAAAAGAAATTGAAATAATTTTTTATTTTATTCAAAGATATATTCTTTGTTTAATAAAAGTACAATACTGATAAAATAAAATAATTAGAAATAATTAAAATATAAGAAAAATTAACATATATTGAGTGATTAGACTGACATTATGTAATATATATTCTAATATCAACAAAAATCTAACATAGAAAGTGATAAAAGTATAAATCTATACTACTATATAAAGAGACAACGTATTTTTCGTTTGTGACCACTAACCGTGAAAACTACTGAACCAATTGTTACCAAACTTTAACTGTAGCATCTTTATGATCCCTGGAATGTTTACCATTAATCAAACCTACAGATTTTTTATTAATTAAATAAAACTGCAATGGATTTTTGTCTGTCTATTTCTCTCTCTCTCTTCACTAGATGGCGACACACGCTGTCTATAAGAAAAGTCTATTATTGAAGTTTACTATTATATTTGAAGAACTGACATTAAATTATAATTAGTTAATTAGCAAAATCTTTGAGGAATTAAAAAAGTGACGTCATCACGCTAGATGGCCGTATGTGTACAGTACTTATGGCGGGTTTTCGAATCGTTTCTGCAGGTAATTGTACAAAATATTCGAAATAGTTATTGGTGAATATTTTTGAGATTGATTGATAAATAATGCCGAGAGCTGCAAGAGCACGAATAGGAAGAAACAGTTCATAATTGTAGACGACGTGAATCTACACTTCTACAGCAAAGACTGGAAGGGCAACGAATTCGTTCGGCTCAGAATCGAATGCGTGTAGCGAGGAATTTTTTAGGTTTCACATCAATATAACTTATTCAGAAGTTTTATGATTTTATTTTTTTATAATTTGCAAAACTCTACTGCAATACTACACATTGATCACTCAAAAATAATTAATGAACAATTAGTTCAAATTTTCTAAGTTCTATATGTATATAAGAGTGGGCAGGCCGCGATGGGGATGCTAGTAAGAATAAAATAGTAGTTTTTAATTAAATTTTTACACAAAAGTTTCTGTTAGATTATAATAATATGTAAAGGTAAATTAAAATAGTAGCAAGATTTGTTTACTTTATAAATAATTATGCAATTGAAATGATTTTCAAAATAAATAAGTTAATGGTACAAAAGTCATGCAAGTGATTGCTATATGTATTAAAAAATTGAAGATTGAATTTCTGTATGACTTTCAAACACAATACGAGTTCAACATAAAAAGTTATACTAACCTGGCCTACAGCCTTTTCCAAGTGGGTATAATCAATTCCATCAGCTATTATCAACAGATCGACTAAATTTTTAAAAGACAGCTGAAAATAAATTTAAAAATGAAATTTTTCAAATTTCTAAATTTAATTTATAAAAAAAACATCATGCCATCTGGCCAATCTCAATATGATTTGCTACTACAAATACAGTAAAACCTGATTAACTCAGATTGGTTGGGAAAAAAAATTTGGTCTTCAAGTTAAGAAGTTTTGAGTTATGACATTCAGCTAAAAAATGAAGATTTTGTGCATTGGTGACCGTATTAATGAATCTATTCCATTGGTCTTATGCAGAATCATTGTGTCAATATAAACCTCTGGTGTTGTCCAGAAACCCAGTGATGCTTAACCACGTGGTTAAATAAGCTACTTAGAAATATGCTTTCCCAAAATGTTGATCCATTCACTTCTAAGTGTTTAGTAATGACTTTTTAAATTGCAATATTTTGTGCCTAGAATTAATGTTTTTTTTTATTTTTTATCAAATATATACTCTATAATTGTTATATTTTTAAAATTTTGCCATGAAGGTTAAAATTTTTACATAGAATCAGATTAAAATCATTTTCTTTAATTAATCCATCAAAAATCCATTTATTTACTATGTCAACTAGTTATATAAATTTTTCAGCAATCAAATAAAACAAAACAATAACAAAAAAAAGTTAAGTTAAAAAAAAAAAAGAAAGTTTGAATGGCAATTAATACTGTAACTGCCATTCAAACTTGCTTTCTTTAACTTTTTTTTTTTGCTTCCAGACAATGTGTTTGGCTTATATACTGATAAGTCACACACATTGTATGGAAGCCAAAACCCCCTGCCCACAGTCACATCACACAATGTTTATTTTTACTGTATGTGGTTCTCCCACTTTATAAGAAGTTTCTGATTAGTTTTTTCAATAGATAAATGTTAATTATTTTATTTAAATTAAGATTCTGGAGTGTTAAATATAAATACGTTGTACTAACCTTGTATAGCTTCGCAGTTAATTTTAGAAACGTAACACTAACATATTTGATCCACCCTAGAACTTTCTTCAGGTGTTCTATAAAAATTTTTCTGGTGTGATCTGAGTTCAATTTAGCTTCCAATTTTAAACATTCCAAATGTTTCTATCTTTGAATTTATTTTTAAAAATGCTTTTAAATTTTAAATTTCCAAAAGATGTGCACCTGCACTAACCATTAACGTGCCAGGTCATACATAGTATTCAAAAAACAACTCTCTGCCATGCTCTCAAAAGTTGTTTTTTGTCTTTTAAATTGATTGACAGGTCTTTGCAGTCTGCTTTAAAAATTTCTAATGCCTCCAGATTCCGTAGTTGATTTATATGCCAAGTTTGCCGGATCATTATCGCTTGTTGCAATTCAGGTGTAATGCTGTTTTCATTGGCATATATAGCTAGGGTGTTAGTGCTTTTCCTCTTTTCAATATCTGTTTTGTGTTCATGGAGGCATTGTTTGAGTGATCGTTTTGTAGACATGATATATACGATATCTCTATTGAATCTGTTATATCTTAGCAGGATTTCATACATTCCTGATGTTCTTTCAATTTCCACCCGATCTTTCTCATTTCTTGATATAGAAACTGCATATGGCACTCATATGTTATAGCAATATGGTAGGGAAGCTCATCTTGCTGCAAACCATTTTTTGGAGCCCTATTCAATTGGTTTTTTGCTTGTCTGCCATTCTATATATTAGACCTTTTTTATAGCCATGGTTTTCAGCAATTTCTGCTATTCTTATTTCTCTCCATTTGTCTTGTTCTTTATTGCAGTATGTGTAGGACCTTCTGATAAGCACTCCAAAGGCTGCCATTTTGTAGTTGTATGGATCGTTAGAGCTGGCTGGGATGTATATCGGGATGGTACTCGGTTTTTGGTATATCTCAGTTGTATCTGCTATCATTGAATGTAATATTAAAATCCAAAAAAAATGAAAAGCCATCTGCAAACTGCAAAGCTATACAAGGTTAGTGTGCCGTATTTATATTTATTATAGCTTTGTTCATCGGATAGATTTGATTCTGGAGTGTTTATGAAAATACTGTATCAAAATCCCATTTGAGTTAAACAGTGCAACGAATTCGAGTTAACCAGTTTGATTTAATATGTAAATCCCTATGCTAAACAATCAGGGAAAGAAAATGTCTTCAAGTAAACATGATTTTGAGTTATCCCAGTTCAAAATAACCAGGTTCCACTGTATGTCAAATTTAACATATAATAAAACTTAAACATTTTCAAATCTGTTTTATTTATAAATCACATGCATTATATCTGTGGTTTAGTATAAGAAGTGCATGTAACAGTTTCAGATAATGTTGTTATTTATATAGTTAAAGACTTCAAAAAGCTTATTTTCATTGCTAAAAAATAAGTAAATGAATTTCTTCTTACAATGTAATTTTGAAAATAATCAAAACTATTAAAAAATATAAAATGTTTGTATGTTATTACAAAAAATTTATGTAAAATGACATAAAAAACATATTAATGCAATAAAATACATATAATATAATTAAATATATAAATTATATATTATTAAATAAATAAATTATGTAAGAAATATTTATAACATGTAGAAAAGAATTTTATCACATCATCTTAGTAACAACAACAGAAATTAATATGTTTTTGATAGTTTTATAGTGACAGTTTATTCATCCCATGATTTCTACAGCAACCTTTTTGTTGTTCTGTAAGAATGCTGTGTTCCTCAACACGTTTGTATATTTTGTTTGCAATACAGGATATCAATAATTTGTAGTGTTGAAAGACATGTAATTAATCTGTATTGTGTGGGGTCTGTGGTATTTTTGTTTTTAGGTAGGTGATGCCAAGTAAAAAATTTTGGCATGTATTGTGGATTGATGATGATGTGTGTTAGGTGTTTAGGTAGTTCCTGGTGCTATGATGTAAACTTTTTGTACCAGAAATTGTGAATGTTGTCTACACCAAGTGTCTTCCAGTTGTGTGTTCTGTTAACAGCATATCACATGTAGTGTACATTTATTTCAGCACAGGGCATAGTAGGTTTGTTGTGCAAGTTTTTGTTCTCCTCGATCCAGCCTGTATCAACACTATGTGTAACAGCACTGGACCAAAGAGAAGACCAATAAGTTGTGAGTTCTTCTTCTGTTGGTATGCCACTGTGCTGTGTATCAGTGTTTTGATACTAATTTCTCTGTAAAAGAGTTTTTCATTGTTTGTAAATAACTTATTTTGTTGTTTTCGCAGTGAACATGTTTTTGTATTGTTTCAGTCTATGTGCTTTGGCTGCAAGTTTTTGTTTTAGTGTATCAATGTATTCTGTAATGTGTGTGTTGTGATGTTCATGTTTTGTGTGTGTTTTGATTTTCTTGAAAATGTTTTTGAGTTGTTTCTTTAATTTTGGTGTTAGGTTGTTTTTAGTGTATTGTGTCAGCCTGCCTAATTGCTGTCTAATGTCATTTATTTGTGTTTCTATTCTTCTTTGCCAGGCAGGATTGTGATAGAATTGTGTTTTGTGTGTATCTGTGTGTGATTGTATTTTCAATCCATAGTATGTCACTACTGTGACTGCCCCAGCATAAACTAATGTATGAATGTCTGAGAGTGTAAAAATTGAATGAATGTAGTCTGGTAGTAAGTGAGTGTTTACATAATTTAGTGTTTTTCCTACTACCTTTGATGTGTTGATTTTTGGTATTTGTGGTCTTTGTGTGGGATCTGTACCTGAATATTTAGTGAGTGTTTCCTGAAATATAAGTGAGAGCATATTAACTAAATCTATGTCTATGTTATTAGTGGTGGACGAGGCAGTGTCTGTAGTATCATTAGTGGTAATTGTTGCGTGTGTGTTATTATCAATGCTTGTTGCTGGATTATCCTGACAGGTTGAGTGATCTTCATTACAGTAATGTTAAATGTTTCTGTTTGTTGATGTATTTGATCAGCAATGTATTGTTTGATAAGTTCGAGTGTTGTTTGTGGGATAAGATTGTTGTGCATAGTAGTTCTTTTTTAATCAACAACCCTTTGTTCAGTGACAGTGAGGTGAGGATATTGTTTTGTGATTCTATGGTGTAGTTGTTGTCTATATACTTGCATATAGACAACAACTACACCAGTTTGTTATGTTTGTTTCGAGTCTTGTGATGGTGTGGTAAGTACAAATGATAAACTCATTCATTTCCATTGTCCATTTCATCCATTGGTGTGGTTTTCAAGCCTTTGTGATCTGTAAATGCATTGCCACAAAAACACTAAGGCTAGGTTGGTTCCTCACGTCTATTGAGGGCATTGCAGTGCCATGCTTAAGCCGGTGATGCTTTCTCCACCGATAGTCAAGCCTATTTTTCAAATTTGAGCCTCTGCCTAACACACGAATGTGGACCTTGTAGTATATAAAATTTCAAAACTGATATTATACACAAGGATATAACAAGAAAGAACTTAATCTTTGTCTGGTTAAGTTTTCAGGTAATTCACCATACTTAACTCAATTGTGATTTTATTTCCAGACTTATTACATCAAGGCCAGGTTTCTAATAATATTCATATTGCATATTGGAGAAAGAAATAAAAACTAATAATGTAAAAGATCATTACTAGAACCCTGTTTTTTATGTAATAAATCTGGAAATAAAATCACTATTGAATTAAGTGTAGTGAATTAATATCCACAAAAAACTGATAAGATGTAAGATGTTATGGTTAAATTTTTTTTAAACATTTTCAAAATAAATGGAATCTCATCATCAATTTATTTTAACATAAATAAATATAATATAATATAATCTATTATATTAGCATAGATTATTATATACATGAATATTGTAATCTGTATGTAAAAAGAACTATAAAGAGATTTTGTTTATTTTGAATATGTGTTCTCAAAAAATTTAAAATAGCTGAATTTTATTTTACTATTAAAATATTACAAAACATTTTTGTTAAAAAATAAATTTTTAAATTATTAAATAAAATTTCTTACTTTTTTATATGGATTTCCATGTTTATCTGCAACAGTGACTAGAATGTCTGATTGCAAAACTTCTCCAATTCGCACTTTATCTTTTCCACTAACAGTTGCTTTTATATAAGAAGGATCTCCATGTTTTGGCCTAATAAATTTATATAATATTTTCAGAGCAATTGTCTTTCAGAATAAAATGAATATAACTTTGATTAATTAACTTACTTTACATTAAAACCAAAATCAATGACATGCCCATTAGACAGACTGACAGAACAATACATATTTTGTTTAACTGACTGAGGAGTTTCAATATCTGGTAATTTCCCAGCAGAAAATAATTCTCTGGAAGGTTGTGCAGTCCAATTAACCTAATTTTAAAAAAACTTTTTTAACTGTTATATCAATTTTTAAATTAACCTAAAATATTTCTGTTTAAGAGTAATTAATATGTTTACATTCAAATTTATACCTTTAGTTTTTGTGAAATTTTCTGAGTTATAGCAATTGGTCGACCACCTTCATCAAAAACTTCATATTCTAAAAAAATATACCCGATTAAAATTACATTAAAAATTCTAAAATGTTCATTACTTATAATAAGAGTTTTTTGGATATTCAAAGCATTAAAAAATATTTTGAGAGAAAGTAAAACAAATGTGAAGTCATACAGTGGATTTTATACCTGTTTTTAACATTCTAATGAGTTTTATTCCTTTTTCTTTTACCAACCTTTTAATTCCACAGTTTTAATTGCATTTTATTGTACTCCCTCCTTTCATAATTTGCAGAACATACAAGTTTCTTTATAACAACTTTTAATTTTTATTATTTTAATAGAATTTTAACATAATCCCTTTTATAAAATACAGATATTTTATTCTATATTGAAATCCAGTTGTCACTATTATCTATAATATACATGTAACTTCTGTCATCAAGACTGATGTAAAATTAAAATAAGGACTGATAAAGTATTTAAGATGTGATCTATCTGAAATTCTGTGTAACAATTTTATATCTTGCATTTCAACCCATACATCATCATTACCTGCATAAGTCACTAATGCTGTAGTTGATAGCTTCTACCTTATAAAAGAAAGAAGGTATAAGAAAGACAGCTTCTATAAGAAAAAAGCTGTCAACTATAGCGTTAGAGACTTATGCTGATAATGATGACATACGGGTTGAACAGGAGGACTGATGAGGAATATGTCTAAAATGCATATCCTCAGGAATCAATAAAAGTCTGTATAACCATTTTAATTTTGTGTTCCTGTACAATTTGTTCCTTCAAGCAATTGTATACTTACTCATAACAAAGTCAAACAATTTTAAAAAATACCAAAAAATGTTTATATATTATATTGAATACATAAATCTTCACTGAAAGAAATTGTTCCTTCAACATATAAACTAAAATATAAAAAGTAACAATAAATGAAATTTTCAATAAATATGACAACAATCTAGTAAAATACAAAATCAAATACATAAAAATTAATATAAATAACAGTATAAAAATTTTGTGCTATCAATCAATAAAATCTTTCATTTTTTTTATTTTCCCAATTTCAAAATAACAAAATTAATTTACATCAGGATTGTTTGTTTGTGAAAATGGAACTTCAAAAACAACATACAGTCAAACTCAGTTATAACAAGCGTTAAGGGACTGGCAAGATTTCCTTGTTATAACTGTTACTTGTTATATCCATGAAGAGCAGTAATGTAATTAGGGTGAGAATAGGCAGCTGCTTTGGGCACAAATGTAAAGGTGGCAAAATCTGTAGTTACATCATTGATGATTAGTAAAATCTATCTTTTAAATTTTTTTTATTCTAAATAAGATAATTTAAAAAAATATAAATACATTATATAACTATTAATAAAAATACAGTATAAACCACAATATAATTAATATTAAACAATTTATTTTCTGTAATTAAAGATAATAATAATTAATAATATGCCTGATTTCAGTTAGTCTTCTTATCTAGAAATCTTAAAATTGATGATTGCTTTATTTTTCCACAATGCCGATACTACTGAAGATAAAGAAAACTTTCTACACACTTTGACATTTTTAGTGCCACATTCTATCTCGCAAATAATTTTTACTTTTTCGTAAACCAAGATAAACTTTTTTCTCCATAGACATCTTTCTCATAGAAGGGTTATTTCTAACTAGAGTATACAGTAATTTTACAATTGTAGTGATGATTATGTAAATTGACAGAGTAAGGCTGAAAGTTAGTCAAGAAATAGAGGAATGGTCTCCAAAGAGAAAGTTAAGTGATAAATAGGCCTGTAATCCATGCAGGTTGTAAAATGAATTATCCAGTGGTCATAAAACTAAGTAATCCTTCCAGTTTTATCCCTTCCAAAAATTCAGTATTGCATTTCTTACTACTTGAACAATTAAGAATGTTTGTGTGTTTGCATAGCTATCAAAAATTTGCTCAGCGTATCCATGGAGTACGCTCATTATAACTGTGAGAAAATGTATGGAAATACATGTAAAATAAAATGGTTAAGATGTTTTGCTCCTTATCACCATAAACTCATTATATCTGTGTTCATTATAACTGAGTTTGACTATAAGTAGAAACGCAGAATATTCAAATTATCTGCAAAAATATTTTACTTAAATTTAACAAACAAACAGATACTAAGGAGTTTTAAACTGAATTTCAATATTTAAAACTTTAAATCAGCTAGCATTCTTTACATTTAAAAATATTATATTTAATCATTTTCTAAATTTCAATTATTAAAGATGATAAACTTTTAAGTTAAAAAATATTTAAGTATATTGTTTGTCTGTCATTTCTGTAACATTTGTGGACTAAAATATAGGGTGTCCAAAAACTTACTGTGCGATGAAAAATTTGTAATTACATTAAAGTTATATTTATGATATTGCATACAACTTACAGGTTTTTTATGTAATATTTAGGGAATTCGATCCCGGTCTTTATTTCTAATCCCAGGATTTCGGGATTATACTTATTCGATCCCGGGATCCCGATTTTCGAGATCCCGGGATCAAATCCTCTAGTAATATTGTATGTATAATGTTAATGTCATTACAAATTTCTCACTCATTGTAACTTTTCAAACATCCTATATAAATTATGCTGATCATAGAATATAAATCGAATTAGGAACAAATTTAAAAACATTTTTTCTTATGGTTTCTGCTGGATCTAATACAGAAGTCTGAAGAAGAAATCTACAAGTTTAATTATGTATTGTTTATTCAATCTACATAAAATATTATTATTGTTGTAAAAACAGAGTTATTGTCAGTTAAGAATAATTTGTTATATTCTATATTTTAATACAATTTATTTAATGCAATTTTTACTTAATTCTATACTTATAAAAATTTTTTGTATCTTATCTTTAGTGAAACTTTAATATATAAAATAAAATGATTTGTATGTAGGTGGTTAAAGTTATCTAAACATGACAATAAATAAATAAATATAGTATCAGGTCAGTCCATAAGTTCGTGCATATTTTATGACCTTAAGAAAAATCTTGTTTTGCTGTTAAAAATGCCAGTCTAATGTGATACTTTTTACACTGAAGTGTTAAATTGGATCTCATTCATATAATACTGTTCAGAATTGGGAACATTTCAGTTGTTTATTTTCGTTAAAATGGAAGTAACAGATGAATATAAGAGACATGTTTTATACTTTTTATTTTTAAGTGATGAGAATGCTACAAATGCAGCCAAAAAATTAAATACTGTTCATAATCAAACTGTAATTAGTGTAAGGACTGCGCAGAAGTGGTTTGAAAGATTTAGAAATAATGATTTTAGTGTGGAGGATAAGGCTCGTACTGGAAGACCTGTTGACTTTGATGATGATGCTCTCTCTGCACTAGTTGAAGCAGAACCATCTTTAACAGTTGATGAAATTGCGGAACGTTTAAATTCATCCCATGGAACTGTTCATAGACATCTACAACAAATCGGAAAAGTTTCAAAGCTAGGAAAATGGATACCACATGAACTGTCAATAGCTAACTGACAACAACGTCAACTGCTCAACTCAAAAGCTTCAACTGGGAAATTTTACCTCATCCACCATATTTGCCAGATATTGCTCCCAGTGATTATCATCTTTTTCGGAGTTTGCAGAATTTTTTAAAAGGAAAAACTTTTGAGGATGAGAACAATGTAAAAAAGGCTATTTCTGAATATTTTGATTCAAAACCGAAATCATTTTACAAAGACGGGATTAAAAAGCTACCATCAAGATGGCAAGAAATTGTACAAAATAATGGTGAATACATCATAGATTGAAATAAGATTTAATTAAAATTTTTTGTTGCTTTTTTTGTAGATAAAAATGCGCACGAACTTATGGACTGACCTGATATTTTATTAAGTTCATGAATTAAACAATTGTCTTCATGATAACAGCATGATTTAAAAACAATACAGTAATATATATTTTTTAACAAAAAACAGAATGTTAATGACTAAGAAAAGAATGATACTACTTAAGAATTTAATTGAATACAACAGAATTTCCATTTACTGTAATCATAGATAATGTTTTCAGTCATTTAATCCTATCAAAATTAGCAGATCAACACACGACTTATAATATGCTATAAAAACTGTTTTACTAATCATAATTCATTTACTGTTATCATTCATAGAAAATGTTCTATCTGTGGAACATTTTCTAAAACTGACTTAAAAACCTGATGATGGCCTTTGGCAGTAGGGTGAAAACATTTGTTAATAGAGAATTCTCTCAGCAAATGCTCAGGTGTTGTAGTAAGATTGTAATCTATCTCTGCTGTGTACTTTTAAATTAAATATACAGTTGAATCTATCTCAAACACAATTATATCAAAATTCATTTTCTTCCCTGGATTTTCAGCCTAAATTCAATATATTTTCCAAGTTTATCTCAAATAATTTCTTGCAAAATCTTTATCTCAAATTACAGACTGAAGTGTCAATTACAAATTCAAAGTTCTGTGACTACATTTTGATAGGTTAAACAGTAACTAAGAAATATCTCTTGCAATATAATACTTAGTTGCAATTAACACTACTTTCCTCTGAATGACTACAAGTTTAACTTGTGTCTTATTGGTTGAAAAAGTTTGGTATCAAAAACTATTGTCAAACTATTTCTATTAAGATATGTCAAAAATGTTTTATTTACACCCAATACAGATATCTACTGTATTGCTATTGTATTAATAAAATAAAACAGCAAGTACAGTATATACTTCCAATCAAACATATTACTGCTTACTGCATAGGAACCTCTATATCTCAAAACCTGTCTGTCTCAATTTTTTTTTCCTCATTCTCGTGAGATTCAAAATATTAGGTTGTTCGGAAAGTAAGTTCGTTTTTTTTTACCACTAGACAGATTAGTCATATTTTTCCCTCCATTTTCATTCTAAATCGTATTATCATTATATATTTTGACATCTGGCATTTTAAGGCTTATTTGTAAAAAATTTTGTTTGATTTTGTGCAATTTTTATATTTTGTG